CCAGCAATCATTATTACCTATTGTCACCTGCACTGCCAGCAATCATTATTACCTATTGTCACCTGCACTGCCAGCAATCATGACCTTTTCTCACCTGTCCTGCTACATTCTGTACATTGTGCAGCAGGTGAAGACGGCTTTCATCTTTGTTATGACTCAGTCAGGATTTGCCCCTTAGACTCCTTGAACATGGAACAGATGGTCTCACTGCTCTAGGTCAGATCACCAAGGTAAGTCAAGCTACAACAAGTGAATTCAGCTGACATACTGTAATACGAAAAAAAAAGTTAGAAAAAAGCGATGAAGTGTTAATTAACTTGCCTCAATGTTCTGAACTGAAGGGAGGATGTGGGTTTTGCTTTGTCACTTGCCTCAGAAACGGGCACTTGTGAGAGCGCTCGGCCATGTTCCTGTTTCACTTGGCACATCTCACCCCGTCAACAGGAGAGAGAGCAGCTGGAGGACTGATGCAGCTCTCCTTGACAACACTGCAAGCATACGGGCGCAGGGCTCCAAAACCCTACTTTCCCCTTGCTACAGACAGGACATGTTCCCTTCCTAAGACATCCGTGAAGCTACCGTTCCCCCTTTTGGTACTGGCAATACCATTCTGTGGTATTGGAGAGGACTGCATGCCAACAAATATGACAAACTGCGTCTCCCCACCTCCCGGCCAGCAGTGACTTACTTTGGCCTGACCCTGGCCACTCTCTGGAGGTGAGGTGAGGTAAGGTTAAGAGCAATGGTTTTTATTTTATAACTCAAGTACTGATTACAGAGGAAGACAAGGACAAGCGGCCTTCCTAAACCTAGTGCTCTGGACAGGTCCCTTTCCGGGTTAAGCCGCCTCATTTAGACCAAGGTGGGCTGAAGATAAAAGGGAGGTGTGCACGCTCCTCAAGACAATGCACGCTGAGGATTTCTCCAGTGACTGGTCTGGAACAGGCCAGAGGAAGCCCTGTGCTCCACTCACTGTTTACTCTTTACGATAATCGCTTCTCAATATGTTTGCTTAGAATATACTTAAAGAGAACTGCACATACGCACGCCAGCCTTTCGCATACGATCCAAAAACACAAAGCGTTGTGCTTTTCCTGTTTCTGCAGACATGGAGAGGTCAGAACTGGCCCAAACCGGTTTCATCAGAAAGGCCATGTTTATCAAGGAGAATTCCCACAGTATCAACTGGATGAGTTTCCGATGGTGCTTGTGGTTTCAGTAGATAGCAGCTGTTGCCTTTGCAGATACAAATACAGAAGCTGAGCATGAAAGAGCTTTTACAACCTTCGGGGCTACAATTTTTCTTGCTGTTTTTCCTCCAGAAATT